TAACATATTCGATTACCTTCATAACCTGACACATTGAACCTAACATATTTGATTACCTTCATAACCTGGCACATTAAACTTAGTTTTTTTCTATTTCTGTGTGCGTATTCTCGGAACATATGATATTAGAGACGACAAACCCATTTCCATTTTAGTAAGAAATTCCTGCTAACACCTGGATCACATTACGCCGTACCATAAAGTAGCCTACGATTTTCTGTACGTTTTTAGGCATCGTGTGTGACCGTGGGATACGACGTTTGTGTTCAAATTGTCAACAGGCATTGTTCGATGGGGACAGGCTGGGACAAACAGACAGACAGACAGACAGATATTTTATTAAAGTCTCACCTCGTTTTTACAAAATAAAGCAATTGACAAGTCATTAAAACAAACTATCCTTTAAGGGGTCACGAGAGACTACATGTACAATGTAAAATACAGTTTAATTAATACATGGTGTTAAAAATCAATAATGGTTAAATACACACTACACATTCTAAAAGAAAGACTACCCATGATATAAAATACTTTGCCGTTTTCCCAATAAAAGTTTGCAGGTTTTGGCTGCTAAGAAGAACATCTCGGCCTCGGACATGATAAAATTAAACTTGTCACTCAAACATTTAAAATCATAACATATTTCTTCACATTTGACTAAAAGACTGTTTGTAACATCAAAATAAAGTGGACATTGGTATAAAACATGACATTCATCCTCAACGCACTCATTACATCCTCAACACACACGTTGGTTCCGGGGCATGTTGGTGTTTCGGCCCGTCTCAACACGTAGCGGGGCGACACCACAGCGGAACATGGCATTCGTCACCACTCGCCTCTTTCCGTAACCTCCAAGAAGACTCGTCGCCCTATCGATGCTTGTTATGTGCCAAAATACGACAAACCAATCAGAACGCGCGTAAATGACTGCGGTGCTTTGGTAAAAATAATCCCGAGTACTTAAATCGTTTATGGCATTATGGCATTGTTTTAAAAATCATGAAAAATATTTATCGCCATATTGAAAGTACAAAGAACTTGGCTAACAGGATTTTGCTGCCTATTATGAAGTTTTTGATAAGAATCATGCGACTGACGGTGAGAGACTCAAATACACGCACGTGCGTTTGTTGACATAACGGCTCTCATGGGTCCAGCTGAGGGTATATCTGACGATCTTGCCGGCTTGCTATGGAGATTGTACGTGCGCTTCCAACAATTTTAGGAAATGTAGTTATAAATCGCTACGAGTTTCAAAACATTAATATTAGACATATATCTGCATGTAACTAATCATGTTTAATCTTTAACATTGGGCATATATTTCACATCTCTGGAAATATTTTAGTCTGACTTTTTTTGGTCATTCGTATATTTTTCAGCGATTTTTCCATTTGGGGTATGACAGCAAGGTTACACGAATGTTCATAGTCTCTAAATTAATCATTTCAAACCTCACGCTACGCGTTCTGCTTCAAATGAAATTTAGAGACTATCAATTCGGTCTAACATTCATCTAATTTCCAAACACAGTACGTTTATCTCCTGATTCATTCACAGTAACTTCCACACCGGTATATCCTGATATCACACAATGAACATCTAATGAATGTTAACAGAAACAAACAAGCCATGTCGTAAGAGGTGAGGTCACTATATGGTTGAAATATTGCCGAGGTGACGTTAAATTTTAGGTCACTTACTCACGTAAGAGGTGACAAAAAGGATCGGGTGGTCAGGCTCACTGACCTGGTTGACACACGTCACATATTCAAGTTACTTAGATCGATGCTCATGATGTTGATCACTTGATTGTCTGGCCCAGACTCCATTATTTTCAGACCGGTGCCATATAGCTGGAATATTGCTAAGTGCAGCGTTAAACAACAAACAGGCAAACAAATCTTCAATCTGTTGCCCCGGGGTCTGAATTATCTTTATCAAACATCAACCGGAATTCGTGAAGTAAAATGGGCGTGAAGCCACTGATAAGGCATATACAGGTCATGTGTGCCATGTACAGACTTGAACAGACATTAGGGTGTACATGTATTCATAATAACTTAATAACTTGACATGTCTCTTTTGCACGTCGCTTTAATCACAGCGACAGTCTGCGCTGTCTCCAGGGCTGCTGGTTTGACAGGACTTTCAGTGAACTGTACCGAACCGTTTGGGATCATCGCGCGCGACATTGAAGACCCTGGTGTTTTCATACGATGCAGATTCTACGTCCCCCGCATTGAAGAGTGTCCCAAGTACCAAGTCCTCAGCTTGAAACACAAGCGGTGCTTATACCCAAGTAGTCTTATCAAACCTTGCAACCGTGAGTAGATTTTGAACAGTTCGCTTTAATGTCACAAAACGCTTCCTTACCCTTTTCGCGAACACCTGGTGTCATCACAGGGGCCCATTCATATTTTCACAGCTAACGGAATCTGTCGAGGAGGACAATGAAGACTGCGTATTCTTTGCACCGTCGTTTTATATATTTACCCAAATCCGACACGGTCAAGGCCATGGCTACGTGTCTGTTGACCACAATTACGAACGTCCTTTTATCGAAATAGGAACAGTTCTGAAACAGAAACTAAAAACAAAGACGGCAAAAAGGAAATATTGGTTCATTGCTCACGCATTAGCGTGGAACAGCCTCCCAGAACCAGTCAGAGATCTCCAGATCTGATGTCTTTCAGACGTCATTTCAAAACCTACCTCACTCAACTGCTCTTAACTCATTCTATGTGACTCCTCTTCGAGCATGCATCAAGCATGGAGTAACGCTATATACAAGTGTCCTATTATTATTATAAAAAACGGTTCAAGAAACTAGATTATATTATGAATGAATACAAGTATTTTTCTAGTATTTCCCTGATATGTTATTGTATGTTGAACCATATAGTTTAACGTTACAAGTGGTGTTTTTACAAAAGAAAATAGATGAACAAAATAATACTGGTCACATAATGTGTTCAAGAACAGAAACATGAATCTGGTTGTATTCCGTCCTTAATATTTTTTGTAGTGAGTGAGTGCGTGAGTGTGGTTTTACGACTCCTTTAGCAATAGTACAGCAATATCACGCCGGGGGACACCAGGCATGTGTGGAACAGAACCCGGGTCTTCGGCGTGCGAGGAGTTCAAATACGGGAGAATTATTCCTTTTCTACTTCTTGTTTGATATGTTGAACATATGGTAAAAATATGCATGTGGATCCGTGAATCATTTTTCAGTAAACTAAGACAATACATGTTTGTGACACGGTAGCTGTGGAATAAATCCTTTTCTATTTCGTCCTTGATATATTCCTTAAGTTTTAACAGTTACTGACAGAGTAAAACTGCATCAGTATGTAACACATGTTAACTTTGGGATTACACTTTATCTACATACCCAGAACTTAGCATCCAAAACGTCATCCACTTCCTACTGATTTCATTCCATGTCTGCCCCTTTTCATTGGCCAATATATATATATATATGTGTGTGTATTAGTGACCCGTTTCCAATGACAAAAGCTTGGGAACATTTGATTACAAGATGAAAGCCAATACCGGTGACCCTAGTGACCAATGCAGAGTAGAACCTCGATCACTCACTCATACATAAACATGTCTATATGTTCTGTTTTCAGCTTCGTACGTCTTCGTTCCTCCAGCATATTAACAGATAGAGACGAGGTCCTTCCGCTGCCCATACTTGCTGTTCCGGTCTCTGCGCACTTGTTGGTGTTGTCTGATTGACTGTTTAAAAACTGGTTAAAATCAATTTCCTATTGTTTGTTTTGTGTCATTAAAACACGAAGTGTTCTTTCATGCATTGCTTGTCGGGATTGCAATATTAGTCATTGGGATTGCAATATTAGAACACCCCCAAATATCCGAGCTCACACCCATCACTCCCTCTCTGACTCTCTTACTATCACCCGACCACCCTCTCACTCGGGTTCGGTCACATGCATTTAGCACTCAAACTACAAACCTGTGAAGGTCCGGGTTAGAATGATCCTTCAGTAACCCATGCTTGTCGTAAGAGGCGACTAACGGGATCGGGTGGTCAGGCTCGCTGGTTTGGTTGACACATGTCATCGGTTCCCACTTGCGCAGATCGATGCTCATGCTGTTGATCACTGGACTGTCTGGTCCAGACTTGATTATTTACAGATCGCCGCCATACAGCTGAGTGCGGCGTAAAACTAAACTCACTCACTCAGTCAGTCAAACTACAAAATGAACTTTTCATAGAAAATCAACTTCATCTCTCGTCAGTACACTTGTCGCAGTGGGCTGGCAAAGATAAACCCGACTTTCCGTCACCATAGCAACATTCAACATCATAGCAATTGGCAATTCATTTACTATCCATATGATCAACTCGACTTGCCGTCACCATAGTAACATTCAAGATGATAGCAATTGGTAAATTAAATTCATTCACTATCCATATGATTAAGTCGACTTGCCGTCACCATAGCAGCATTCGATATGATAGCAGTGAGTGAGTGAGTGAGTTAAAACTTTACGTCTCAAGGGCAATATTTTAGCCATAATGTGACAAGAAATTGAATATTAAAACTAACTTTAGGACGAATAAGATGTCATCGATTGGCCATATAATAACTGGAATACCACAGATACAATATAATACTAGTTGACATCAGTAACTAAAGGTAGATCACCATACTTGTCACCAAACCTTGTTGATTATGTTAACACAGTAAATGGTATCACCTTGAATGTTGCTATGGTGACAACAAGTAGGGTTGAACATATGTTGGGTAAATGAATACCAGCTGCTCTTGAGTGAGTGAGTGAGTGAGTTTATTTAACGTCACATGTGACTCATTAGGAACAAGAAATCTGTCATCAATTCAATTCAATTCATTTTATTCTCAAAAAGAACCACCGACTGTGGTACAGGAGAAAAGTTTTCCAAAATAACAATAATTTGTACTTTACATGATGGCGGTTATATTGTACAGATAATTGGCGACATTAAGATATTGTGACTGAAAACAATTATGAATATATAAATCGATGGACAGTAAAACTGCTAGATTATCACAGGTATAAGTTAAAACTAGTTGACAGCATTTAGAAGAATAAATTAGTAAACGGCAACACATTTCACAAATGGGCTAGAAATCGCCAGTAACTAAAGGTTGATCACTCTACTGGGGACCATGGGGACTTACAGTGTCTTTGCTACCTGCACGGATCCTAGTTGGATTTACTTCATCCCATCCCTTCAGCCACTGGCGATGATTGATGAATTAAATTAAAAATTAAACTGCATTTACAAATTTGGCATGCATATAGATTCTTCAAATGACGTGGAACTTACATACCCTCTTAGGGGGACAAGTATTTTACGTTTCTTCAACCCCCCACGAGGGTATAGCAGCTAACTATTCTAGTTATTTATAAGCACTACCAATTTTGCATGAGAGGAGTTAAAAACTGCGCCAATTTTGTTAAATCTGTTTTATTTAAATATGGTTTTGGTTTCGTAAGGTTGTTTCCTGATTCCGACAGGGTCAGACAGGGTGGAACCCACGCAGACTTGAAATAACCTGTCAGTTAACTAATTAACCAATATTAATTAAGGCAGACATTCCCGCAATCCACATTCATGTAACTCTTTTAAAATATCGTGCTTCCATATTGCTTGTTTATAGTGACAATCTTAACGAATGACTTCAATCGAAACAATCGATTGTTAGAAGTAATTTGATCAGTCGAAACAGTGTTTAATAACTGCTCCAGTGCTTGCTTTACCTCAAGATAAAGGACTTTCTGTGCTTGATACTGATGCTAGTGGTTTCTGTATAGGTGCAGTACTATAATACTACATAATACAGTACAATAATACTACATAATACAGTACAATAATTACTACATAATACACATTCTATTGTGTTTCTCCAAATTCTGTAGACAAAAAATAGGCCTGATGTGATGTCATACCTTCCCGAAGTTTCTGCGTAATGAGGTGGCACACCTACGCCATGAGGTCAGTACAAGATCACACACGCACCTAAATAATTAGGTGATCAAGGTATTCAACTAGGTCACCAAGATGTTTAACTAGGTCACCAAGGTGCATCATTAAAGAAACAAAACGGCCAACTTTCTGGCTCAATATCTCCCTTACAACAAATATGATGTTTTACACATCGTAAGAATATATTTCTTTACACCCCCATTCCACAGAGATTTCTGGCTCATCGGTCACTCATCGGAAGCAAAGTTTTTTTCTTCCGGTAACCCACCGAAGAATATCGTATCACAGTCCGAGGAATCCGATTTGTGTTTGTCGACTATCAGGTCAGTGTCCGACGTGTCGGGCGCGATCCGATGAGGCTCAGAGCTTAGTTCGCCATCGGACGCTATTTCCGGTCGCAAATCGAGTCAGTGTCGGATGAATGTCGAGTCAGTCAGATGTGTGTCAGATTCGTGTTGTGCAACTATCGGGCGTGTCTAACCAACATCTGACGTCAATCTGACAAGTGTCTGATGATTAACAGTCATCTGACGCTCATCTGATAGCAATCTGCGGTATGCCCGACGCGCCTGATCGCCGCCAATCACCAATTCGATTCTCATCGGAGGGTAACATGATATTTAGCACCGTCCGATTGCCATCCGGTGTGACATCGGAGGATAATCGCTCATTAACTCAACTGCCATCCGACACATATCACATAGCAAGCGGTGACATCTGACGGCCAACGGACTACAAAAGGAGGGTCAGCCGACACTCACTCCGCAGAGTTTCATCGGACACTACAGCACCAAGATCCTGAAGATGGGTCCAAGAAAGAACAGAAATGTTCAAGGACAGAAGGCAAAGAAGCGACCTCCCAGCACCCCTCAACAATCTCAAGTGCCAGAAGACTCCCCTGTGCCGCCGCCTCCTCTTCCTCCTGAAGATGCTTTGGTTATGAAATGAATCAATATTATACATATATTCGACTCCATTACTAAATTCGAATTTGAAATTTTGGAACGTAGAATGAATTTAGAAATAACAATTCCAAACTTAACACCGTTCAATTATCACTTTATTGAACACTACACAACTTCCTTTGCTATTTTAGCAATTATACTTGATGCAACACTAACGTAGCATAAACCTTTTTGGCAACTCAGAAACACATCATTTTCATTAACTGATGTTTTTTATTGATTGAATTTCTTAAAATCAAGAACAGTTGTTGCAATTGCGACTTCACAACATTTTGATTGAATTGTTTTTACACACATATGAGTCGCCATTCAGACTTTTAAGATATTAAGTACATATAAACAATAAATCATGAACATTGCACAATATGAAAATGAGTAATGTCAAGACTCAATATTCATTGGAGTACTCTAACAGTTGTTGGTAACAATACAGTTTATCCGTTGTCATCTGTATCTAAGTCCACTTCAGGTAATTAAACAGACTGCTGAGTCTACAATCAGTTATCTCGGCTCATCCTCTCCTACTAAGGTACCGCTTCTCCAAGAGGGTTGTTGAAGTACAGTCTTAGGGTTTCACGCTGTGCTTTGGCCTCTGTTGTGTCACGGAAGGGTCCTCTGGGAGCTGGTACTTCATAATCCTGTTTGACCACTTTCCACTGTCTCTTGGAGCTCAGATGCATTGTATATCAGTGCGTAAGACATGTGTCCTTGGCCACTGGTGTCTATCCATAAGAAGGGGTAGTTCGCATCAACAAGTGCCATCGGGACCACTGAGAAGAAATGTTTGTAATTATGGTAGAGACTGCCTGAGTTCTTCGGTTTCCTGAGTGCCACGTTCTTGCCATCAACTGCCCCCCATTACATGTGGAACGTCCCAACGCCTCTCGTATTCTTCAGCAATTGCATGCCATTCTGGACACTGGATCACTTTATCAGCATACTCATCCACTATGCCTTGACAGACTTCGGGGATAAACTTTCAAATGGTTTCTCGAGCAACCCTGAAGCTGTATGACAGTGATGGATACCGATCGCCAGCTGCAAGGTGCCTTAGGGTGCCGGCTAACTTGAGACCAGGTTCAAGGGCTCTCCTGGCATTGGTATCCCCTTTCATGAGTCTTGGTGTGAGTCTCTGGAGTAGTTCATCAAAAGGTTCTGGCGTAACTCTCATGACATTGAAGAATGCCGTTGTATCCTCCATTCTCAGTTCATTCATAAGTCTGGTGTAGTGCCCATATAGCAGCCTTCTATCAGCTTGCAGTCATGGTCGAACCCAATAACGACGTTGTCTTCTATGCCTTCTTCTCAGCCTCCTGCTCAGGACCTCAAGGGTCATTGCATCTTGTTGCATAGTTTGTTGCTTCCGCATAAAAGCAAAGCCCAGGGCTGCAGAGTTGTGAGGAGGTTGATCCATGACTAGCACCGTCAGGAGGTGAAGCCCGCTTTTATACTCGACTGCCGATTTTGGCGACAAATCCGACCAGTGTCCGATTACCCTACCGATTACCCTACGAATACTAACCGATTTGTAGGATTGGTGACGGGAGACAGATTATTATCAGGTAACCCTCGAATTACAATCCGACCTCAGTCGGATCAGTCGGACGCCGCCGATGAATATGGCGGACCGACATCAGGCCGCTACCAGTCTTTCATCCGATTAACCCGATCAATGTTGGATCTCTATCGGATTTTACGGAAAAAGGGGACCCCCATAAAAGGATGTCGGGTGAATTTTCATCGGAACTCATCGGAACGCTGAAAATTCCGCAAAATTTGGATCAAATGGGCTTCAGATGAGGAGGTTCCGATGGTCAGAGGAATGGGGGTATTTTGTATTACGGAAATGGTAATGGTAAACTGACACAGAATACTCAATGTATCTTTATTTCCAAACTAACTTTAATCTTTGTGAAGAAGTTCAATGTGTTTGCACTTTACAATCACGCGACAACGCAATAGAGTAACTGTGCCTGTTGATTGAGAATGAGTGTATAGTGCGATAATTGATCGCGGATGGCATGCATCGCTTGCTGTGGATGCGCCCGGTAAACTCCTAGTCTACGATGGTTTATATTTATAGCATATCAAACGAGCTTCCCCTTTCATATCAAGTTTTTGTCCCGAGTGATAAACTTTGCTTTGTCACGAGCTTTAGCGAGCTTAAGCGAGTGACAAAGCAAATTAATTTCACACAAAATATTTTCACACAACAGCAGAAGCTGAACATGGAATTGTATGTCTCAAATAGTTGTAGTTATGGGCATATGCACAGTCAGCCATGCGGAACCCATTGCGCAGAAGTGTCTCTGTCATCTGTGCTCAGGTTAAAGCTTGTCACACAGGATAACATGCGCAGTCCCAATCATTGTGGAGACACTAGCAATACCTATGATCTCACACCACAGTTCATCGCGGAAGTCAGTCAAGTAATCACGGTACTGGAGAATATGGGTAAGAATACGTTTGTAAAACAGACCACACCTATATGGCACAAGTCACTATCACCCTGGTTCTTCTTAATCACAGCACACGTTTGCACTACAAAGTTAGCTGCTGCTCTGCAGGCTGTTTTTTCTGCGCTTCTGGCTTGGTGCACGCACAGGTTCGGATGGATCTGGTGAAACTCATGTAAACTTAAAGTTAACTTAGATAAAACCGATATTGTAATCATTTCAAAAGGCTATGTGAAAAACAAATATAGGTTTAAACATTTTGATGAGGAAATAGAAGTTGTCCGAGAATATCTGTACTTGGGAATCCTATTTAACGACAATGGTAAGTTTGCTAAAGCAATTAAGAGACATGCAGAAAAAGCAACAAATGCTATGTTTTCTGTTTTTAAAACTATTAGGGAACTTGAAATCCCAATTGACTCTCATCTGAAACTTTTTGATCAATGCGTTTTACCAGTTTTGGTATATGGGTTAGAAGTTTGGGGTTATGAAAATGCAACTATTTTAGAGAGAACGTATCGGAAATTTTGTAAATATATACTAAACTGATGTGCAAAAGAAAGTACACAGGTTGTGTTTCTTCAAATAAGATAAAAATAACAAAACCTTTTGTAAAATGGAAAATGTATGTTGAAGCACACTGCGATACACGTGTTTTATCAGCAAAATGACATTGTAACAATAAACAGCGATGTAGTGATGACCACTGCAGACGGTTCCTACGATGCTGGAAGGTCAAGGCCATTTCACGCAGCGGTCGGTAGGCCCATACATGCCAGCAGGACGAAGTCGTCTTGTCACTGTTAATCGGTTTACGCGATGACCCAATGATGTGGCTGCTGATGACGTCACCGTCAACATCCAGTTGCGTAGGTGAATAACCCGCAGAGAGCGATCCTCTTGGGGTGTTGTGACTCTGGAACGTCCACTTCTGGGTCGATCACATGTCTGGCCTGTCGTACTGAAACGGTTAAACAGCCAAATTATGGTTTGTCTTGTTCAACCCAATGTCCCTGCAATATCGCGGTTGAAAGCACCCATTTGTGTCCTTCCTTTGGCCCTGTTGCGTCGACGTCAATCTTGGCATTTCCTCATGAGATTTCTGTCAAGTGATTGTTCAGTCTTCACGACAAACAGGTTTTATACTCTCTGTCAGAAAAGTGCTGGTGCATGGGACAATAATCACAATTTTGCAAAAATTCGTGCAAAACAAGTACAAATGTTTTTGGTTTCATTTTGGCAAATGAAACATGATGGTTGCGTTCTATACAATCAATGTTTTTCAGTAATTTTATTAGTTAGAACGCATATTTGGGATTGCAACAACAATTACACCTGTGTACTTTCTTTTGCTCGTCAGTTTATATATACTATGAGACAATTTACCCCAAAATGTATGGTTTATGGAGAACTCGGTAGATATCCTGTTGAAGTAATGATTAAAACAAAAACCATAAGCGGGTTAGGCGGCTGACTTTGTGTTCTTGCGATTAGATGCCTGACTCTGAGGGTGTGGGTTCGAATCCCGGATGGGACTCAACCCCAAAAGTACTAGAATCTGTACTTTACTAAGAAAGTGTAATCCCAAATATAACATATGTTACATCCTTTGTCTTTGTTAGCCTTCAGGGGCGGTGGGGTAGCCTAATGGTTAAAGCGTTGGCTCGTCACGCCGAAGACCCGGGTTCGAATCCCCACATGGGCACAATGTGTGAAGCCCATTTGTGGTGTCCCCCGCCGTGATGTTGCTGGAGTATTGCTAAAAGCGTCGTAAAACCAAACTCAGTCAGTGTTAGCCTTCATGTACCCTATATATATCATGCTATATACTCATTCACCACCTCATGCTTGAAAACGGAATAAATGTCTGTACCGAAACGTCGCTATTGTACAATATAAAAGTTAATCATTCATAAAGACTTGTCATTCCTATAGTAAAGGATTGTTTGCCTCAAAAGAAGCAACTGGAGCCTGATGCCAGCAGCGATCTAGCGAGACAGCGGACGCGCTTTAGTGCGATAATTGCTCGCAGATGGCATGCATAGGTGGCTTTGGCTGTGGCTGAGCCCAGAAAACTGCTTGGTCTAGAAGCCAGACCCCTAAAATGGTGGAAATGTGGTGCAGTTCTGGCGACCAAACGGGATGTGATTTTTCACAATCAGGAATGATTTAGCTTTAATTTGAAACCGGTTGTCATCAGCTACCGTGCGTGACTACCGTGCAGGGGCCCTTTTAAGGTGCAACATGTCATGTCAGTTATCGCAATATTTTAACCGATAACTGGATGGTTTAATTTAAAAACTCTGGTTCGGTTTGACCGATTTCAATAAAAATAGTAGTTTTGGAATGCTCAGACCATGATTTAAATTTGTGGACAATAATATTACATATATGCTCATCGCAAAAAATATTTTGGTAAGGTTAAAGGTAAAAAATTTATAGAACGGGCATTTGATGAGAAAATATGAGTTGAACTTTACAAATTAAAGGTAAATTTTCCAAAATTATGTTTTTCAGATTCAGCTATAACATTTGAAGATCATATATACCGTTGGTTGGCATTGTATTCATGAAAAACCATTACAAGGAAACTAAGGCTGGTACTTTGTATTTAGATCAGCAAAATATTACACAATGTCTGTTCAACAGTAACAGCACCATGCTTTACATAGTCAACGATACTAAATATGTCAAAGATACTGTTGGACTATCATTAAAATCACACAACATAACAGAAAGCTCTCAAATGTATAATTCAATTATTCAAGATGTCTTTCTTTATTCATCAAAGAATGATGAGTCTGTTATGTCATCATAACACAAGCAACATTGCCTTTATATCAATTCGTACTTATTGTTCTTAATAGTCATAGTGTATTCCCAGTTGACATGTTAGCTAATGTCAACATTGTCAAGATCACGGGAACATGTTTCAAGTCTACATCCACATGCCGAAATACACAACAGGTTCAACCTCTTGCAGCTACACCTTACTGTACATTGACGTTTACATGCACAGATATGTTGAAGAAGGTCCACGGAAACAATTTAGTCTTAACTTATTTGCAACTTTATCACAGAGGAACAGAGGAATATTTGATGAAGATATTTTACGACAGAAACGTACTGCTTTAAATACAAAACATTAAGTGCCTGCTTTTATGGACAACTCAAAGGAATTCCTAGGCAATATTCATTTAAACATCTTGCTTCTACTGTAACTTTCATAAAAATATGCATACCTCGGATTTAGTAATATATAATGATAAACCCAAAGGAGTTACACATGGCATGGTCATGACACAATGAGCATCGATCTTCACAAGTGGGATACGATGGCATGCATCAAACAAGTAAGTGAGAACGACCACCCGATCATATTAGTTCGCTCTTACAACATGGGTTGCTGAACATTGATTTTGGCCCAACACATTTTTGAACCTGTGAGAATGGTTAATGAATAAATGCATAGCCAGTCTCATGATATCTGTTGTAGATCATTCCAAATGCTATTATTGAATGCATGTCGCCAATATCGTTTCTGGTCTCTGCAAAAGTCGTACCTCAGAGAGCCAATTGTCAAGTTACATTTAATTACTATCAGCTATTCAATTCACGCACAGAAGTTGGTATTTAAGTTGACAGACGCTTTAGAATTATATTTTGCTCGGAAAACCTTGAATCGTCTATACATATTGAAAGTATTGAGTGACCTCGTCTAGATGGATACTAAAACACCAACTGTCGTTCATTTCCCGATTTCAGTATGTCGCATGACTACGTTGTCCTTCAAGCAGAGTGAATGAATTGACAATAGTTATCGCTTCATGGAATTGGCTCACGTGAATCACTATCTTCATCAGCTGATGAAAGTCGACAGTACAACGTCAGCTCTAAAATATTGACAGACTTCACCCAGATGGCCATAACGAAGTCGGCTGTAGTCAACTGCATTGTTCCAACCGATATTATGAAACCACCAGCTGTGATCAGCAGAGTGTGTTTCAAATGAAGGACATCTTCTGCTTGCCCAGATCTATATATTTATCTTCCGAAATACGAACGCTAATATTACTAGGAGATTAGCTTTTTTAAATGCGTTTCCCTCGCTGGTCGCTGGGTTACAGGCCGGGAGAGCCACATTTCCGAAACAGATAGCCAAAATTGATGTGGCTCTCCCGGCAATAGTTATGGTTGCGTGAACATGGAATGTGGCTCTCCCGGGTATGCTGTAAAAAAAGCATGCTTTGTGATTCAAACAGGTTACTGTGTTTAACAAAACAAGACATCTTTCCTCATAATTTTATTCAGATCACAACCGATTATATTTCTATAATTAGCACAATATAATATACTAACATTACATATAATATTATCACATTATAATAAAAAATCTTAATCTGTAAAAACATAATAATAATGATAATGGTTTAGTTTGTTGCCATGTGTACATTTCTCATGAAAACTTTCTGCTGCATTGTGATGCGTGGACGTCCACTCCTTGGTCTATCTACGGTGACCCCAGTCTGTCTGTAGCGCTGAATACCAGTAAGTCTTATAACCGTGATATGGTGGCATCCGAGGGCGTTTGCAACAGCATTGTATGTCGACCCCATCTGCAACATCCCAATGGCTCTTTCCCTCACTTCTGCTGTAACTCGTGGCACATTTCTCGTGCTTGTGTAACATATCATGCATTCTTGGCTCTCTTTATACCCAATAGAATCATTCTACACGTGAAATTGATGCAAATACTGCTTGAATATTGCTACGTTTTGGCGATTGATATTGCTGAGTGTGTAAATGTTACTTTGCAAGCAAAAATGTTAACAAAGATCCTTTTCGGTGTTCCTAAACACTTTTGCACAATATCAAAGACACGTTTTATTTGTTTTCAGTATTGCAAATAAGCAGAAAATGTTTTAAAAGACTGAATTCATAGGAATGATCCTTTTACAATTTTTACACACTCTACAACAGGTGTTACTTGTTTTAAAAATTGAAATGGTGACTTCAAATGGTTTATCTCTGTCTTAAGCAGAATTTTATTTCAACCTTTCTTTTGGACATCTATCTTAAATCACTGTTATGGGTTTATTTCGGCATGGTCGAAAATAGGACAATTTAATCTTCTGAAAAAGATGCAGTTCACCTAAATATGAATGCGTTTGAGAATTTGATTCGTGATTTGCATAAAGCTGGGTTGTTAAGTTGTTGTTTTTTAAAGCTAATACCTTCTAACATATAGTTTTATTAACGTAATTCATAGATGGTAGGAGGGTAACGGTTTTTCTGGCGTTTAGCGTAGGAAAAGTCTTTTACCGGTTACGGTAATCCATTAATTATTTAATCTATTAGAAATGTGGCTTTAGCGGCTACAGCCATGTAATTGAAATGTGGCTTTCCCGGCCTGACACTGGTCGCTGGGGCCTTACACATGCCAGTAGTCTCATACTCCAAACTTTCGGCCCAACCCCTTCTGTAATGCAATAGTCCAAAGTGAAGCCTGTCTAGACCCCCACTGGTTCTGAATCTCCGAGCTCACCACTGGGGCTAATTAACCATAAAGGGAGTTATATATTGCTATCCAAATTTCCTATTTTCAGAAATTTGTAAAATTGATAAAGTTGCAAATAAGTTAAGGCTAAATCGTTTCCGTGGACCTTCTTCAACTTCATATCTGCGCATGTAAAAATCAATGTACAGTAAGGTGTTGCTCCAAGAGGTTGAACCTGTTGTGTATTTCGGCATGTGGATGTAGGCGTAAAACCTGTTCCCATGATGTTGACAATGTTGACATTTACTAACATGTCAACTCGGAATACACTATGACTATTAAGAACAATAAATACGAATTGATATAAAGGCAATGTTTCTATAGGATGTCATGTTATTATCCATCAGTTTTAAGGGTTTCACGGCATGTCAGTGCAATACTGACACTTATCAAAATATGTCTCCTTCTGACATCAGCTGAATTGTTGTTTCTGCCAGAATGTCAATAAAGGCAAATATGTATGACAGTTCAACAGTATCTTTGACATATATAGTACTGTTGATACTTTGTAAAGCATGGAGCTGAAATTATCTTATATTTTGCTGATCTAAATACAAAGTACCAACCTTTGTTTCCTTGTAATGGTTTTTCATGAATACAATGCCAACCATCGGTATATATGATCTTCAAATGATATAGCTGAATCTGAAAAACATAATTTTGGAAAATTTACCTTTAATTTGTAAAGTTCAACTCATATTTTCTCATCAAATGCCCGTTCTATTAAAATTGACCTTTAACCTTACCAAAATATTTTTGCGATGAGCATATATGTAATATTATTGCCCACAAATTTAAATCATGGTCTGAGCATTCCAAAACTATTTTTTTTATTAAAATCGGTCAAACCATACCAGAGTTTTAAATTAAACCATCCAGTTATCGGTTAAAATATTGCGATAACTGACATGACATATTGCACCTTAAAGGGCCCCTGCACTGCAGTAGTCACGCACGGTAGCTGATGACAACCGGCTTCAAATCAAAGCTAAATCATTCCTGATTGTGAAAAATCACATCCCGTTTGGTCGCCAGAACTGCACCACATTTCACCATTTTAGGGGTCTGGCTTCTAGACCAACTAGTCTACCCTGGTTTGTGGCCGATTGATCGAAAAGCCTTCTAGTACGGAAAAAGGTGTTCGCTCAACCGGTCCCAAGGCGGAGTTGCTTCCGCACGATATCGCACAATTCGGTACTAAGATTTTCGCGGGATCGGTTCTACATCACTTGTTATATTAAAAACATGACATCTCATAGAGAGGACACGATTTTATTCCGACCAGTAGGTTGTACATGTAAAACAAAATAACCAATATCTTTGAAACAATGTAGATAACAAGAAACAATACTTGGCCCAAAACAAACTTCTAATATTTCTGATAACCTCTCAAAACTCTCACCAATAAAGTCAACGTGACAAACGTTATGTGGGTAAAAACTAGGGTCTGGTTGGACAT